CCGAAAGTATTTTTGATAAGCCTTCTCGCACGGTTTAACCGATAGTTGAAAATGTCCTGTTTCGGTGTCAGTCCGTTCTTGCCTGGATAAGGGTGAAGCAAATATGATTTTAAAGGGAACGCTTCGTCTCCCACGAGATAGTATGGCAGAATTCGTCCTCCTGCAACAGCTGATGGCTTCGGTACATTCATGCGGTTTGCATTGAAGTTCTTGCCGATAGCACTGTCGCCGAAAATACCTCCATCGCTTCGTCGTCCGTACGCCCCGATGTCAACGAAATCGTAGTGCTCATACATAGTGTGCATTACAAATGGCCATCAATACTACTACACTATGAGCATGCTTGTAATTGTAGTACGTGGAACCAACATTGTTGAGACACTGGAATAAAATTAGCCATTCATTATTTTGAAGACTGAAAATATAGTTCACCGATAACTGGTACGGTATAGAGTGTCAGGCTATTAATACTACTGAATACATACTTGAATTGTTACATGTTTTCCATCGATGGCACCAATGCAGTGAATGAAATTGGACAATTCTTCAAAGTCATTTGCAATTTCGAGCCAGTCTCTTTCCGACAATGCTGGCGATAAAACCAAAGGACACAAATTGCTCCAAATTGCTTCGCATGTCTCTCGAATAATATTACAAACTGTTGTTACCCCAACTAGATACTGATATGATATTGATGTCATTGAATCGCCAGAAGCAAGATACCTAGAACATTGCAGGGATACGAAGATATACAATATTTAAGCAATACCAAAGCAGTGAACAACAATTTCGTATATAAAATTTGCAGTAATTGAAACGTTTACAAACCTCAATGTTATTACCAAACATTGTTTCGGTTGTATGGGCTATCGAATAACATTTTCTTTTACCAATAGTGGACCAACAATCAACAACAATTCCTCCAATTGTGTTGCGGACATTCGGAAATAATTGTGGAATCGTACTTCATCCTCTAGGTCCTCTGGTCAGTTTAGGAATCGATGCATAGTAAAACTGTGCTCTGGACGATCCTTTAGATACGGTGCCACCCAGTATTGCTTCTTCTCTTCTCATTTTCTTGCAATTTTCGCATAATTGCACACAACACCAGTATTCGTCGTTTCCTAATCTCTTTAGCTATTATTAACGACAATGTATTTCGCAATGTTGCCGACAAAATACTGTTTGGGCAGTTTAAACGCACTTCGACACGCATCCTTAATTGTCAGTTTCATACACGAATTAAATCTATAGAAAAAACGATTTAAAAAATAAGAATACAAATTCACAGCGATTAGCGATTTGTTGCTCCTTGAAAAAGTAGCTTGAGGAAGTTTAGCGGCTGGCGTTTTGTCGACGGCTTTCTTTCTCCTCATTATTTAGGGGAATTGTACCACAGAGTGGGGGTAGCCGCTCAACTGTATCTAGCGCTTTGACGCTACGTGAATTTACACCTTAAGTGTTTGCGACAACATCGACACAAGAGAGAGAAAAAGAGGAGCATGATATAAATCAAAGTCTTGCTAGATGGAGAGAGAGAGAGAGAGAGATGGAGAGAGAGAGAAGAGAGGGGGGAGAGGGGGAGGGGGAGAGGGAGGGAAAGGGGGAGAGGGGAGAGAGAGAGAGAGAGAGAGAGAGAGAGAGAGATCGTCATGTCTGTACCAACGTTTGTAGATCTGCAAGGATTTACCATCGGCAAACTATTCTTCGTGAAGGAAGCGGCAATCTTGAGAAAGGGATATGTTCTATCGCATTACTTTTTCGCAAGTCCCGAAGCGTGCTTACAAAATCTGAGTGATGTCAAGTCTCATAGTTGATTAGAAATCATCACGGATTACAATGGGAAGACGGAAACGTTCCGTATGGTTTGGCTCAGCGTGCGATTACAACAGCTGTCGTTGGTACGATACATGAAGAAGAAGAAGAAGAATCGTTTGTCGTGTACGTTAAAGGATTTGAAAAGCGAAATGGCTGGCCGATATACTAGACGATGCGGGGAACGGCTATATTATTGAAACCTTGGATGCGGATTACGAAGATATCGATGCTTTAAATAAATTAGATGATACGAATAGTATGCGATGTGGAAAACATGTTAAGAATTGCGCATTACAAAATATATTCAAAATATTTAACTGGTGGTCGCGACGCCAAAAAGAATTGCGAGAAAAATAAAATATGTGAACATTAATATGCGTTATCTCTTATTTCCCCACCCTAATCCTTTGCTTGTGTTTTTTCAGAATTCTTTTGTTCGAGCGCCGCCTCCCCCTTCTCCTAAATTCCAATGTGTTAGAAGCATTAATCCCCCACTACTACATTATATTTTTGATAGATGAGCGTCGGGTATAACCGATTAATTCCTGTACCAGTGTCGCGTTAATGCATTCACCGCTCATGCATTCACTTTTCATAACCTCCCAGAGAAATGTACTACGTTGACAGAAGCAGCAGCAGTAGCAGCGGCATCGGAAGACACGTAAATAATTACGTGCCGAGTCATGATAAAACTCCATTTGAGAACAAATAAGTTGAATGAATACGTTTCGTTTAACATTTTTTCTATTTTTCTATTTTTACAAATTGCATTATTAGTATTACTTAATTTTAATTTTTCCTGTAGCATTTCGTCGGAGCGTCGTGCGATTCGTATATTAGGCAGACGATACGCATTGACAATTACGGAATTCAAATTCCTCGAAATTGGTATCAACGTGGGTCCGCCGAGTTACGTGGAGATTGTCATAGGAGATCATCGGAGAAAGGAACTGATATTATCTCTCGAAACGTGGAAGGGACTCTGCGAGCAACGTCGCAATATTCTAAATCTCCTTCGGAACGACTCTCACGACATCTACAATTTTATAAGCGTTGGACCGCTAACAGTGCGAGTTCGTACGATTAACAACGCTAAACTCATAAGTCTCGAATCTTCAAACGTATGCATGATGATGGTCGAATCGACGTTACATCGTATGTTCGATCTAGATGGTTGCATAGATGTAACTTTTGATCGATTGAATAAAGTGACCGAGACAGTCGATGTCAAATTTATGCAATTCTCCAATATCGCGTCCACTGTAACGAATCCTAAGAAGTATCAAATACGCACTAGCGACACCTTCAACAAGCATCAACTCGTCGATTGCGAGCTGGCGGCTTTAGCTTTTAGTCCATATGTATAATATGTAAGACAAAAAATATGTAAAAATATGAATAAGGAATTTTTAAGTTTACTATATCATGGTGTACTTTTTTTGTTGCGTTTGCCCATTCCAGCTTTCATGCATAGCTCCTTGCAAGAGAGTTATTATGAGAGAGCAAACACTAGGAAAAAAAGAGAGAGATATGGATACGTCGAACGGAAAAAAATCTAGAATTACTTATATCGGGGGTGAGGGGTGTATCGCAAAAGTGCAAAGCGGCCGAACATCGGCGCTGATATACGAGCGGCGGAAGCAAGAGTGCAAGGGTGCAAAGCAGCCGAACATCGGCGCTGATATGCGTCGCAATTCTTCCGAGAAAAAATTGTGGAAGACGATTCTGGGAGGTGCCATTTGTTTATATTGTTTATCAACCGGGCATGTAATATAATATTGTGTATCACTGCGATAAAACATCTAACACGCGCCGCCTCCGAAATTCCCTCCGTCCCGGGTAACGTCATTCCCCTGCGCCTCCGTAATCCCCCGCGCGCCTCACCCCCCCTGAGAGGACCTGAGTTAGAACCGGCCTATATATCCTACTAAGGAGGATGTACATATAAAAGTAATAAATTCAACGGGATGCCGCTTTATTCCTGTCAGGGGATCTCTACAGCTTTCTTAAAAAATCTGTGCTCGTGCATTAGAGGTTGACATATGTCATGTTGTCATTTAATCATAATAGTCAGAAGTTGACTATATCAGACTCAGTCAGAAGTTGACTATATTGCAGGGCCGAAAATGAAATGATGGACGGCGCCCGCGATATTTCAAGCCGGAAAATCTCGTATAATATGTAAAATATTTACATTAAATCATACATCGTTATATTCGTTTCAAACAGCGCTACAACTTTTATTATATCAAAATATCTACATTATTATAAAAAAATTATACATATCTCTCTGTTCTTTAATACAGATAAATTTTGTAATCAACCACTATACTCACATTAAAGTTTAGTTAAAGCCATTTAATTTTATATATATTTGTTATGCTCTATGTCTTTTAGTTTAAAAGATAAAAAGGGGTGGCCACTTCTAGGTGGGACACCCTGTATATATACAGGGTGTTTCATTTTAATCGCCCCAGGCAAATATCTCGAAAAATATGGAAATTATGAAAAAATGTTTCGGACAAAAGTTGTATGATTTCGAAGGGGCCATAAAATAGTAGCATTGGTTTGACCTTGAGCAGTCATTTGAAGGTCACATAAAGGTCACCTTAAATTTCTTAAATGGAACATCCTATATATTATTGCATATTTTTGTAGCTTACCTCAAGAGCTTTCCAAAACACTATAATAAATTATTTTTTCATAAAGTACTTTTCGAGTTATAAGGCTTGAAATCATTTCTTAATTTTACATAAACCATAAAATATCTTGTAAAATATTCATGTTTCGATTATTTTACCTTAATACTTTTATGTACAAAATAATGAGAGGAATCAATTTCAACTGAAAGAAATGAGAGGAATCAATTTCAAGTAAAGAAAACACATAGTTGTTTCTAAGAAAAAATATGTAATTTGCAATTAACAATTATATATATATTTTTAAAACAACTATGTGTTTTCTTCACACCAATTGATCAAACCAATGTTACTATCTTATGGCCCCCTCGAAACCATACAACTTTTGTCCGAAACATTTTTTCATAATTTCCATATTTTTCGAGATATTTGCCTGGAGCGATTAAAATGAAACACCCTGTATATATATTAAAACGTTTAATTAAATTTGATTTTTATTTATACATCGGGAAGATATAAATCGATTTGATGGTTCATTGTCACCTGTAAATGCTATCGATGATGCTCAATCGGCCTTGATATCTGCCAGATACCTGTCGGACAAATCTCATTGGAAATACACCGGACAGTTTGCTGATATAATAAATCGGAAACAAGGCTTGGTATAGATCACTATTTGCCGACTTGTTATTACTCGTCACATTGGGATTTGTCATGTCATCGTCCACGTTTGAAGGCTTGTCTGTATACATTTATTCCAGATTATCGATTTAAATCGTCCACATTCACGATTATACATACATATATACATACATACATACATATACATACACACATACATACACATACATACATACATACGCGCGCGCGCGCGCGCGTGTATGTGTGTGTGTGTGTGTATATACATATATATACAGAGTGCCCCAAACCACCCATACACTTCTTTTAAAATGAAAATAAATGACTTTTATCAAAAATCGCGAACAATTTTTAAGTAAATCGGATACGCTCTTTCAAATGGTGATATTCAACTTTTGATTTCGACCGGAAATACTCCATCCGGAAGTTGAATTTTTTTAGGGGAATATGGTACTTTTTATTACAGATTCGAATTGCACATGAAAAAATAAGAACTTTTGTATCAAACGTTTTTTCTAAAAGTGCCTCTGTCAATCTTAACATTTGAAGTTGATTATTTCATCACAATTACTTTCAAGGTCAATTTTAAGATTGATAGAGGCACTTTTAGAAAAAACGTTTTATACAAAAGTTTCTTATTTTTTCACGTATAATTCGAATCTGTAATAAAAAGTAGCATGTTCCCCTAAAAGAATTCAACTTCTGATCCGAATAGCGTATTTCTGGTCTGAATCAAAAGTTAAAAATATCATCATTTGATAGAGCATACCCGATTTACTTAAAAATTGTTCGCGATTTTTGATAAAACAATTTTTTTCATTTTAAAAAGGGTATACGAGTGATCTGGGACCGTTGGATTTCATTTGTTTGATATAATATGTATATATATATATATATATATATATATATATATATATATATATTAAAGTCATCAAATTCGATAAAGCTATTTATTTTTTTAAAATGATTACAACAATCATTTTTGTACCTATTATAAAACGAACCTGTAACGTTATATTTTTTTTGTAACTATAAAGACCATCGCACATGAGCATCGAGAATTAAGTCATCATTTTATATATTGACTTACTTAACATATTATAAGCATAAGTATGATGCTCATTGATCTATACGGTTTTATGTATATGCAGCTATGCAATTTTATGTGCGATAGTCCTAATGGTAACATATTGTCATATACGTTAGTTACTTTTTTTAGTAACAATAACGAATTTATGTTATTTTTATCGTTATTTTTCATATTTTGAAAATATTTATGACATCGACAGATATTTTTATATATTTAATCTTTAGTTATCGTATATACCGATATTTATATAACGAATTCGGATGATACAAAGAATATTGAAAATGAATATTAAAAAGAATAAGAATAATTTAAAAAAAAACCGGTTGTCAAAAACGTAAGCAACGTAAGTATAAACGTAAGTACCGACTCTCAAAAATGTAAGTAAAAAGAATAGTGTTTTTTGTAGATTTTGACCTTCTGAATACGATAAAACTATTAAAAAATTCGTATGGCTTAGGGAACACTCTGAAAATTAAACAAGATCAAGATGTATTTATAGAAATTTGGATGAGCTATCACAAAACGAATTCGTGTTCGTGTTGTTAGGAGAGAAGAGCGAGAAAGAAGGTATGCTTTTTGTTTGTATATAACAGAAGTAACTGAATGCGAGAGGAAGAGTTAGGGATAAATTAAGATGAAATGACTACAAAAAACCAATGTAAAATGGAAGACGTGTTTGAAGTGGGATATTAAAGAGAAATAGAGAAGATTGTTTCTGATATGTTTAATTATCTAAACTATGAATCATTTCACAATGCTTCTATAAATCGATTTAACTGTCCATTATATAATCTTATTATTATGTCATATAACAAAAATTAAGTTGATTTAACTTTCATTAAATCTTTCTTTTAATCTCGTTCTCTACCGAGCCCGGAATCGTAACGAAAAGGCGATGTTATGTTGGTCTCACTTTTTGTTTCTTCTTTTTAATTTTTTTTATATATTGTTATATTTTATATTTTATTGGATTTTTTATTTAATTTACTTTTTACTTATTTTAGTTTTTATTTTATTTATTTTTATTTACATTTTTTGAATTTTAACTTTTTTCTATTTGTTTTTATATTCTGATTAATTAAAAAATCAATTAACTTATTATTAAGCTGTGTTCGAAATCGATTTATTTTTCAGTCTATGTTATAATCAGAAACACCCATGTCCATATTTTCCAGAAAAAAATGAAGAAAGAGTGGTGAAGCACTTTGTATGCTTTTCGACAGGATTCCGAAAAATTTCTTTTTGTTGTAATAAAACATACCTCCTTTCTCGTATTTTCAAAAAACTCACGTATGTTTTGTAATAGTTTCATACATCGCCTGAATTTCTATAAATACACCATGTATTTACTCAATTGTTAAAGTGTTCTTTAAATCCCATGAATTTTTTAATTGTTTTATCATATTCAGGATATCAAAAAATTTACAAAAAAACACTACACTTTTTCTTATTTCATCTTTGAAAAACAAAATCGGCTTCTTCTTAACATCCTCTTTTAACATACATATATTTTGTGATTTAGATAATTCTATATATTAATTTAAATATAATGGTAGTTTCATGCATTTTAAGAACAAATAAATGTAAAATTATCATATTAAAATTTGTAAATATAAAATTGAAAGTACAAAAAGAATATAAAGTGTGTGTGACTGTATTTATAAATTTAATAAAAATCAAAATTTATTTGCTTTTACGTTTTGAAACTATTTTTTCTAAATTTCTTATAATTTTGCAAATTTAAAATTAATTGCTCTTATTAACATTTTAATAAAAAATTACAAAAAGTAAGTTTTTCATTCAAAAAAATTTTTTTACTCTTATCTCGTTTCAACATTAAAAAATGAAAAAAGGAAAAGAGAATCGTTTCTTTAAATAGTGATAACGGTAACTAATTACTTTTAAAAACCAATAACTAATAACAATAACTAGCTACTTTAACTCGATAACGAGTAATTAGTTAACTAGTTATTTTTAAAAAATAACTTTCCATTCTCTGATATCATATCAAATAAATTTCAAATTTTATCTAAAAATGATGTAAAATAAAGATATATCATCTTACTGTTTGTCTTATTCACCATTTGTCCATTATTCAAATCGTTCCATCGCACAAGCATTTTTCTAGATATGAGGATAGTTTCGTTGATGATATTCATAGACACGCTCGCAAAATAATTCGCAAACTGTATTGAATAGATTCCTACAATCACACACATGTAATAATTAAATTTACAACTTGTTAAATCTTTACTTTAAAATTTTATTATTAGTATTAAAATGAAATATAAAGTGAGTGTACAAACTGTATGTATGTAACATTTAATGTTAGTATAAAATAAAATGTAAAATGTATGTATAATGTGCAAAAAAAATAAAAATGTAGCTAATATGTGTGTAAATTTTACCTTTTCATCACATTCAACGGAAGAAATGAAGTCACAAGACCTTTTACAAAAATACCGTTCCTTCGCGCAGAATATACTTTATAAGAAATATCGCACTTTTGTCAATTGCATCATCGATTACTGGAAAATCTATCGTTGTGAGATTTATTGAAAATTCACGAGAATTTGAGGCGCAACCCGCGCAACTCACGGAATGAATTGTGACGCAGCTGAAGTTCTCTCTGCGTTTTATGTCCGCTCTTCCCATTCATACTTGTCAGATTGTCAACGGATAATTGTTGTTGACGATCGAGCGCTCGCGAGAGATGCATATCCTTCGAAAAATATATGCTTATCTATCTCTTACATGTTTATTCAAATACGTGACAAGATTTTCGCGTGCAAATATAACATAATCTATACAAAAGCTACTACGATCTCAAATATATTGATAATTTTGCTCGTATAATGGTTATCTCATTGAAAACAAAGGAAAGAATTCTTTTCAACGATAAAGCGCATGATCGGATCAATGAAATAGAACATAATTCTCGCAGCATATTTTCTTCTACTGTACAACGTATTATTAAGCAAATATTAGCTAAGAATATTAAATAAAAACCGTGGAGTATTATTGTTGTTATAACACACGTGCAATTTTTTAATATGTGCAACTTTTAACATGCAATATTGTACAATACTTTTAATACTTCATACACGAAAAATATTTAGACCTTTTATCTATTGTAAAATTAAGTAAAAAAAAGTAATTTTTGATTAATTTTTGCTAATTTTTGTGTCTTATTTTCTATTTTATTGTTACAATTCCTATAACAATATATAAAAATATAATTACATGTATAAACATAGACACACATGTGTGTATTTATACATATATACACACACACACACACAATATATATATATGTAAATCGGGTAAGCTCTATCAAATGGCGATATTTTCAACTTTTGATTCCGATTGGAAATACGCCATCCAAATCGGAAGTTGAATTTTTTCAGGGGAATATCTGTAAAAGAACCAATTATTACAGATTCGAATTGTACATGAAAAAATAAGAAACTTTTGTATCAAATGTTTTTTCTGAAAATGCCTCTGTCAATCTTAACATTTGAATCAAAAGTTGAAAATATCATTTGATAAGGCGTACCCGACTTAAAAATTGTTCGCGATTTTTGATAAAAGCCATTTATTTTCATTTTAAAAGGCGTACCGGTGGTTTGGGACACCCTGTATATTCGTGAGTTGTTGGTAGTTTATGTGTAGCCGTACATTGTGCGACGTTTAATTTATGGTTAATAATGTTTTTCAATATTTTCTCTATTTTATCCTCTCTCTCTCTCTTTATCTTAATCTTAATGAATTCCAGTATGTTGCCAGAGATCAGAGAATTCAGTAGTTCTGACATCAGATTAATGAGTCGCCCGCTTTTCCTATAATGCACATAATAATAATACAGCAATTAAATAAGAATAGATAATAGCAATATAATAATGAACATTATTCTTGATATGATGAACCGTTTGATTAAACTCAATTTTCTTCATCATGCTCTGCTCAGCATTTCTTTAATTCTCGGTTTATAAATCATGAAATAAATGATATTTGCTTTATCCTAAATATGTTATTAATCGTAAACAAAATAAAATGCGATAAATATTCATTTACTATAATTAATAACTACAGAAAACTATATATAAATCTGATAAACTTATTATTATTATAATTTAAAAATAAATCGCAAATCTTTTCAAACAGTACACAAAATTATGTGCTAATAAAATAAATTCCCCAGATTAACAGTGTTTTAAGATTTATCGATATTTATTTAGTCATTTTTTTAATTCAAAAACATGTTGACAGTCAGAGTGAAGTTTTATATCTTGAGAATCACACAGTTGAATAACGTTATTTTAGTTCAAGTCCAAATAAGATTATGTTTATGTAAGAAAATATAGAACGATTGCGAAACCATGTAAATCAACAAAATTTGAAAATCAAAATTTGAAATTCAAAATATTTAAATAATTAATTTGATACTAAATTTTTGTTAAAATCAATCTTTTTAAAATTGATATTTCAATAATGTCAGTGCAATAAATAAAAAAAAAATTTTATTTTTTTTGTTTAAAGAAAAAAAATTGTTTATTTAAAAAATATACATAGTCCCAGACATTCTCTAACACTGCGCGCGCGCGCGCGCGAGAGAGAGAGAGAGAGAGAGAGATTTAATAGATAAAAGTTTTTTTTAGAGCCGCATATTCCATTGTTTAGACACTTATCATCAAAGCGTGAATTATTTTTAATTACATATTATATAATATTTTTATTTAATATTAAAAGAATCCGCCCATTGTCATGCCTTTCTCATTCTAAGCGCAGCGAACTCAATCATTTAAATAATGATTATAAACAGATTGTAAGAGAACATTTGGCGTTGGATGTCATTATAAATTATGCTTACAATAAAAGAAAAAATAATGTTTACGACATATTATACATATTACTTACCCTATATATATTTTCGATATTTTATATAAAATACTATATTTTATTCTTTTACAAAAAATGAAAAAAGATAGTAATCTTATTTTATTTTAAATTAAACACGAATTATAAAGACAATATTTCGTAAAAAGCTAATAAAAACAGTAATAAACAGTAATAAAAGTATTTAACATTTTATTATCTATTTATTTAATAATGAACAGTATCTAAAAAGATAAACTTTCGTATTAAATTCTTTTATAAACTCTTATATTGTACTCCCGTATTAGTAACTTTAGCAATGCGGTGATTGCTTTTATACTGATACTCATATAACATTGTGTAAAATTATAAATATAATACATCAAAATACGTATACCTCCATATGTCGACTTTTATTACATTGTCAATTATTGTTTCTAATTTTTTCCTCTTAAACAAAGTTCAAACAAATATGAATATGAACATTAATTTCGAAACTTTCATCTGCATCGCTTACAACAAATTTCTAAAATAAAGGTTATGTATATGTATGAGCTATGTATGAACTATATAAACATTACCTACAATCAATACTATCACTATCTCAATAAAAAATGTACAAATTTAACTGTGTCATTAGGTAGGCTAATCTCTCGATTCAAATCGAATTGAATATGTCCAAAAACAATATTCTATTTATCTATTTCTCTTTTTTTCTTAATTTACGATAAAACGTTTACACGACTTTCAATTTTTAAAAGACTAAATATTGATATTTCTGTTTAATTTCATATGTATTTTTATAATATCTTATCTGCTCGCATTTGTGTGTATGCGAATGAAAAATGAAACAATTTCGATATAAACATTTCGAAATTTCGATATAGATGTGACTCATTATATGATATTATTTAAATAAATTATTAATTTCCATTAGATTCACACACTTGTATAAACTCATCCACAGATTTTATGCATATAATTTTTTATGTGTATTTTGAAATTAATTTTTTTTTATAAAAATGTCGGACAACAACATTATATTTACATGCAAATACGCGCGAGAAATTCTCATTATAATATTATACATAATATTATATATGTATAAAAAATTTAATTTAAATTTTAATTAAATAGTCTCATCTAAGAACACACCGCTTTATGGTCTCGCCAAGTTTTTACATGATATTATTTATAAATCTATTCCACGACCAGACAGTCAAATTATTAACAGTCCTCAAGTGGTAGATAGACTAAATGGTAGACGTATTGATGACAACATAAAATTGATCTTGTTAGATGTCATCTCATTATTCACGAATATACCGTTGGACTTGGCTATTGATAGTCTGTTGAATAGATGGGACTATATAGGAAGTAATTGTCAGATACCTTGTGATGAGTTTCTTATGGCAATTCGCCTCGTTTTGAACTCTACATTTTTTATGTTCAACGGCGTTTGCTATCAACAAACATTTGGCACGCCCATGGGCTCTTCTCTTTCGCCGATTATCGCTGAGATCACGCTCCAAGACTTGGAGTCAAGGACCATCGCGACTCTACCTGTGGATCTCCCATTTTATTTTAGATATGTTGACGACGTTGTATTGGCGGCTCCCTCCTCAATGCTTAGTACATTCTGAACACTTTCATCTCGTTCCACACAAGGTTGCAGTTTACTATGGAGGAGGGTGTCGACAATCGTTTGAATTGCCTTGACGTCACTATTATTTTAGAATATGGAATGATTCATTTTAATTGGTTTCATAAATCGACTTTCTCGGGGAGATACCTCCACTTTGAGTCGCGACACCCTCTTTGCCAGAAGAAGGGTACGATAATTAGTCTAACTAATAAAGTTTTCCGGCTTTCTCATTCAAAATTTCATAAAGAGAATTTTGAATTTGTTATCAACATTCTTTTGAATAATGGGTATCCTCTCTCTTTTATTTTCCACACAATTGTTGACCAACTTAATATTTTATTACCTAGATTTAATAATAGACTTGATGATGCTTTGACTGTAGATAGGAATGTGAGTGACGATGTTAATGGGAGAGGGAGGATCTCATATTTTAATGTTCCGTATGTTAGGAACATATCTGAGCGTTTCCGGCATTGCGTCAGAGATCTGGATGTCAAACTTTCCTACACTGGAATAAATAATTTGCGCCAGTTTATTAAAGTCGGCAAAGATAAGTTGGAGAAAGACTCGCGCAGCAATATAGTTTATAAGATTAACTGAATGAATTGCGACGCTTATTACGTAGGACAAACGGGACGCTTGTTAAGGACGAGGATTAAAGAACATAAAAGGAACCTTACGTCCGCGTCATTGCCGAACACAGAGTGCTAGATCATACGTTTGATTTTGACGACATTGAGGTTTTGGATGAGGAAACATTTTTAGGAAAAAGATTAATATCGGAGATGATCTATATTAAGTGTCAAAGAAATGCGTTGAATCTCCATAGTAATACGTTAAAATTGAATACTTCGTGTTTGTCGATAATCGAAAACATATCTAAGATTTAATAGTTTGTTGTTTGTTAGGACTGCTCTTGTCCTTAGTGTATACGGATTGTTTTTGTTGATCACATTTTGACGTCATTTTATCGTTAGCGTTCGAATCTTTTTGCCGGCTATGTGCGTGCTGAGTGTTCGTGTTTGTTTCTGTTTCGTCTTCTCGAGTCCGAGTGAGTTGCCTT